CCGGTTGGTCGTCATTGCCCCCGCTCGCAATGTCGCCGGGGGGCCGGCGATTTTCATCGCGAGCGTCATGGGAGGATAACCGGCGGCGGCGGGCACGATGCTCGGCAGTTTCTTCGTCGCGTTCTCGATGCGCGGCTGCCGAGGGATGGGCGGACTGGCAAATGGCGCACCGTCGGCTGCGTGCGCGCGAAGAGCTGCGCCAGCGGCGTTCGCAGTACTCGAGAGCGACAGCGCGGCGGCGCCCGCCATCGTTCCATGGACTGATGTTGATATCGAACATGATGTCGAACTGTGGGCAGCGAATGCAGCTCGTGAGGTACGGGCCCCACCACCCCATCCAGTCGCGGTAGTAGTCGTAGCTGGGGTCAAGGAAGACGCTCGGGATCCAGCGGGCTGCCCATGCTTCAGCACGCTCGTTCATTCATGCGATGGATTGCTCGGCGGCGGGCGTCTGCGAAGGCTAAGCGGCAGCGGGGGGCGGGGGCGAATCTTGAACAACTTCTTGAAAGGGGCGAGCAGATGGGAGCATGCCGGCAAGCGGGAAACAGGACATGAGGCGCTTGAGGATGGTCCTGTCGACGGTGTCGATGCACAGTGCGGTCTGAAGCTCGCGCAGGTAGGCGAACTGCGGAGATTTGCGCTTGGCTTTCGTTCCCTTGCCACGGGCCTTGCCGCGACCCTCCTCCTCATGTCGATCGATCAGGTGGCTCGCGTCCTGGGCTCTGTCGCGGTCCTTGTCTACGATACCTCGGCGACCAGCAGCGGCGGCACGGCGGCGAGCTGGAGCTAGAGCGCGGACCGCGCGTCGCGGGGTGCCGAGGGAGCGCTTCAGAGACTTGTGGATGGAGCCCTTGCACGTTGGGTAGAGCTGGACCGCGGCGATCTGCTCGAAGCGCCGCGCGATGGAACGTTTGCCCAACCAGCAATCGGCGCAACAGCGCCCGAGGACAACACGGCAGACTGGCAGTCGATCTTCGGCAACAGCTTGGCGCTCACGAAGGAGGCGCGTCCATGATGTAAGTGTTGCGGAGGCTGTGCGCCACATGGTAGCCGAGAGATGCGCTTCCAGTCCCCGTGGTGTCTCCGTTCCAGCCCAGCGCTTGAATGAGAGAATGTCCAGCTGCGTGATGCTGGATGGGGCTGCTCGAAGAAATTTGTGCAGCGTGGGGCTCCTTGGCTGAAAAGAATGGCGAGGGCAGATAGAGCTGGCCTGCGCAGGAGACGCGGGTGACGGCGGCGACGCTGTAGATGTTGATGCTTTGTTGGGCGGCGATCGGGCCTCGCCCTGGATCTGGACCCTGCCCCACCACTTGCCTGTGGGGGTTTTCCACTGCACCGAGAGCGCGGCGCCAGGTCCGATGAAAGCTCCCAGGTAGCGCGCGTGGCTGGCGACCTTGGAGTCCTTCCATGGGTGGTAGGTGTCGGCGAGCGTAGCTTGGGCGTTGCGAATGAGCGGCGGCGACGGCAGAGCCCAGGCCAACACGGCGGTGCACTTCTCGGCCTGCAGGCGGAGCCCTGCAGACAGTTCAGCAGCTTGTAGGCGAGGAAAGAAGCGCTCGATGTCACGGAGGGCGGCGAGAATGATGCCCAGGTCGTCGGCGCAGGAACTGATGAGGCCGCGCCCGATGCGTTCGAGCTCGAACTTGATACCGCGGATGGTGAGATCGAATATCAGCGCCAAGGGCGCACCACTCAGCTGGCAGCCCTGAGCGACGCCCGGCTCGGCGGTCACGAGGGGCCGGCGGGCTCCGCCGAGCTCGAGAAAGATGAGGGGCATGTGGTAGCACGCCCGCAGCAGCGTGAAGACGGAGCCGCGTGGCCCCCATCGGTGGAGCACTTCCCATAGCCAGTCGCGCAGCGGGTTGGGGAAGGCGGCGGCGATGTCCATGCTGGCGAAGCGGGGCTGGAGTATCTCAGCGTTCTTGCCGATGCTGAGTTGCCGAGCGATCGTGTCGACCAGAACAATGTTGTGCAGGCACTGCCTGCCATTGACGAAGCCCTGCTGCTCCTCGGTGGTCACGGCGGCGACGCGGTGCAGCTTGCGGTTGGTCGCGGAGGCGATCAGCTTCACGTCGCCGTTCTTCCTGGCGAGCGGGCGAAGGCAGTCGGACGCCCTGGTGCACTCGAAGTTGCCGAGGGGCTCGTCGCCTTCGGAAGCATGGCGATCAAGGCGTAAATCAGGTCGCGGGGGACCGCGCGGCCTTGCGCCACGCGCAAAATGAGGTCGGCGAGGGCGTCGAGGCTCCCAGGCGAGAGGAGCCAGGCACGGCGCGGGGGCCCGTCGGGACCTGGCCCCGCCGTCGGGAAGCGGGATGTCGAAGGGCGCCCTCTGCGGGAATGCACCGTCGAGGTAGCGCTGCACGGCGGCACGTCGACGTCCTCGGCGGCGAAGATCTTGCCCCAGTGGCATTGGATAGCGGAATGCATGGCCATCGGGTCGGCGACGAAGTGGCAGGACGCGCCAGTGGAGACACGGATGCCTGCGAGGACGACGCGTTTGGCGAAGGGCGCCCAGTGCTCGCCGCGCTGCCCCTCACGTGGCCCTCCTTCAGTGCTCGACGGTGGCCATGGCGTCGCGGGCTCTCTGCGCCGCGAGGGCCATGACATGCTTCATTGGGCGCGATTTCGAGATCGGGTCGAGCGAGTCAAGGTCAACCATTCTGAGAGAGCGGGCGCAGTAGAACTGTCAGCGCTTGGAGTTGAAGATGAAGGGAGGTATCCCCCGCTCAGCAGCAGGCCACTGGGCGCGAGGGCGTAGCCGTAGATGAACTGCACGATCACTGGCAAGTTCGCCGACAAGCTCGAGGGGGCGACGGTCGACGGCGAGGTGCGCCGCGAGGTGGGGCGCGTTGAAGGCAGGGGTGGAGACGAAGCAGCGGTCGATCGTGGCCTCGGCCGTTTTGGCGGGGCATCGGCGCGCAGTGGACTCGGCGGCGATTTCGATCATGGCGAAGAAAATCTGCTTCCAGGAGACGGGCTGGCACTGGTATATGTCGCTGTTGGTGGCGTCCACTGGTCGCAGCAGGCTCTTGGGCGGCAGCTCGGGGATGCTAGAGTCACCGATCTGGGCGAGGTTGCGCGTGTCTGGGCTGGCGCCAGCCTGAGCCTTCGCAGCAGCACAGGCAGCAGAGAATGTCTGGCGAACTTGCATCGTCAGCCCGCGGTTGTGGACGTTGACGACGGTGGTCTCGTGCTTGCGCTCGACATCGAGGACGCGGAGCTTGGCGATGCGGCCTGTAACAACAAGGACAAAGTCGCGACGAGGACGCTGGCCAGCAGGTAGGCCGCGCCTGATCTTGTCACAAAGGACGAGGAAGCCAGCGCCGCCAGCAGTCTCGTCGAGATCCTCGCAAGCTGAGTGGAAGACAAATACGGGCCCTGGGTGGACTCAGCGACGTTCTGGAACCGGCGTAGTTCCCGTGGCTCTCTTGCAGCGCAATGACCGCGCGCTGCCTCATATATGGGAGGAAGATGTTGCGCTTGATGGCGCGGCGGGCTGGCGATCGCCCCAGAAGAGCTTGCGTGCTCCAGGAGACGATGTTCAATCCCTCGGCCTGCGGTTCGATTTGATGAACCATGTTGACCAGCGGGTGCTAAAGCCACTGCGCTGCAGCCATGGGGCCCGCGAAGGCGGTGCGAGCTCATGGGCGTAGGAGTCGTGTTATGCCGCCGGGGCACCAGCAGGGGCAGCAGCATCCGACCAGCGCACCTTGGTAGGAGCCTTGGGAGTAGCGCCTGCGATGGCCTGGACGATGGGCGAGCCAAGAACCGAGATGTAGCCGCTCGTGCGATGGATCCTGAGGTTGATGTCGGGATGCTTGGCGGCGATGAATTTGCTGAGTTTCTTGAGTTGCACTTCTCGGCGTACCATGCAGGGCGACTTGTCTGCGGAGGCGTAGAGGGGAGATGTGCCTGCCGAGGTCGTAATCTGGAAGGTCCTCCAGTCTTTGCCAAGACGAAGAGCTCTGTGCAGCTAAGCAGCAGCAGGAATCGCCAGAACGTCACCGCCAGTGAAAATGAATGACATTCTTCTGCCAGGACCTGACGAGTTGAGGCGGATACCGTTGATGTCCACGTTGGCGGCGATGAACCACTCGCTGAGGACGCTCTTGAGCGCGGGGAATCGTCGATCTCGGCTGGAGCTCCGCACCAGAAGGTAGCAGCATGTGGGGGTGGGTCCCAGTTGCCGAGGGCGTCGATGTTGATGGACGGGTGAAAGGCTTCGGCATGATGGGCGGGTTTCTTGATGTCGTCGACGGTAACTTGTAATGCGGCATTGGGCGCTTCTGTTTTGTCAGCGCGAGCTTTGAGTCGAGTAACGTCACGTTCAACTGATTCTTGTCGTCCAACTTCTTCTGTGGCCCGAATAATGGTATTGATGAATTCTGCTTGAGTTTCTTGACAGACTCGTTTGAAAGTGTCTTCGAATGCTTTGGCGGCTTAGTCGACATGAGCTTGTAGGACATCTTGAAGTTCTTTACGCTGATTTGCTGGGAGGCCAGCGGCGAAAAGTTTCTGAGCATCAGCAGCCCAGGGATCTGCCTTGTCTGTCCCTCCACCTTTGACTCCGAGATCTCCAACGGCACTGGGAGTGGACCCGCCTGGCGAACCCATCGATCCACTTCGGACGCAGTCGAAAGGAGGCCCGCGCTAGCAAGGAGAGATCGCGCGTGATATGTAGGCTGACCGCAGGCGAATGCGGCAGCAATGGGTATGAAGCTCGACACCGCGGGCGCCCTGAAGGCGAGGAAGCGGGGTCCTTGCTGGCCCTGGAACAAGGGTCTCCGTGCTGTGCCACGGGGCGAAAAACATCTTGAGCCAAAATGGCTACGGAGAGGAGGAGGAGGAGGACGAGGAGGAGGAGGAGGAGGAGGCGGAGGAGCAGCCGCAGCATGAGGAGGAGGAGGAGAAGGAGGACCAGGAGGAGGAGGAGGATCGCCCTCCCCCGCACCCTCATCCCCCCCGCCTTCCTCCGACGCCCGCCGGCCCCGGGCACAGGCCTGCGACGCACAGCCTTTCGGGCCACCGGGGCAGTAGCCGTCGGCCACCAGGCCATCGTAGTCCTCTCGGCCGCCGCCGGGAGGCAGAGGCGCAGTCCGGCGAGAGGTCTGCTCACCTTGTACGCAACGCGCAACACGTGACGCAGCGATACGGAGCTCAACACGTAGTCTGGAAAGGTAGGCCTGACGCGATACGTTCGCCCCGCACCGTCGTACGCAAGACCTCTTTCTGCTCGTCGCTCGGGTGGCGTGGCGGCCTCGCGCCTCCTACTCTGCGCGCTCGCGGGGATGCTTCGCCCGCACCCGCGCGGGTCTCGCGCGCGCGCCCGCGGCGCGGTCGTCGTCGGTCGCCGGTGGTCGGTGGCCGGTGGTCGGCGAGACAAGTCGCGAGAAAACATGCCATCGGCTGGCGGATGTTGCAGGCGGCATGCTGGACAAGCATGTCCTCTTGCCCAGATTCTCGATCTGCGTGTGGGGGGGGGGGGGGCTTTCCGCAAGGGATATGCACAACCATCCAAAGAAGAGCGGTCCTTACAGCTGGATTGGAATGCACTGGTCATGTGCTAAGAGGCTAGAAGACCCGCGTGCCAGGGAATGTTCCTCCTCCTGTAGACTGCTCACGCAGCAGCTGGAGGAACAGCTAAAAACTAAGAGAGCACGTTGGCGCTGCAGGGAATAGCTGAAGCCTGGTATCACGCTGGCCACAGCAAGGCACAGCAATGACCTGGAAGCAGATCTGGCGGGGCTAAGAGGTGAGGGTTGCAGGGTTCACTTCTAAGTCAGCAGCATCGCTTGCGATGCGGATCGGCAAAAAACGGGGGCAGTAACCAGCTGATATCGGTACGGCAAGGCGCGTCGCTGCGATTACCCATAAGCTTCCGAAGCACAGCGAATTCGCAGAGTCTTCCACTGATAAGGAGCAAGGAACGGAGGTAATATCAAAAGAGCAGAATGAGGGGAGGAGCGAGAAGGGAACAGAGGGACGAGAAGCAGGAGACGAGGGACAGAGGTCGACGCGTGGGGGGGGGACGAGGGACGAGGAGCAAGGGAGAGAGGAGGAACGAGAAGCGAAGGAGGCAGGCCAGAGCGAGGAGGGACAGGAGCGGAGGGGAGAGTCGAGACACAAGGAAGGAGGGGGAGGGGGAGCAGGGAGCAGGCTCTTTCCATCGCAAGAGCTACCCCACAACAGCTCACCAACACGAGCACGCCGCCTGAGGTCGATGAGTCTTGAAGCTCCGTGGCCTGGGGGGGGGCCACCCGTGGTGCTTGGTGCCGCTTTCCATGAGTGCAGACAGCCACGTGTGCGCCCTACTCCTGGAGGTCAGATTGTTTAAGAAGTGTGATAACAACTCGGCTTATAAGTGTTTTATCGCGCTTGAGCCGAGCGTCATTGCAACTGCAAGTCGTGACTGCACATGAACTGCACAAGCTGCTGCAGTTGTGCAGGCACGCATGATTGTTTTGATCCGCGGGTCGAGAGCGCACCTCTTCCGGTCGAAGCTAAGCGGGCCGCGCACAGCTTTAATCAACAGAGGGGGGCGGCACGCATGAATACATCAATGCGTTAATGCTTCTTTTCCGATCAGGCTTGAGAAGGAAGGCTGCGATTCACTGGCGCGGGTCCACCCCGTGGGCTCCAAGGGCAGGCCGCACCGGAGCTCCTGAAGAATGGCAGCACGTGCGCGTACACACACACACACACACACACACACGCGAGGCCACAGACGAGGACATCGAGGCAATGGGCGGCGCAGAGCGCCAGGGTTCGGCGCCGACGACGCGCGCCACTCTGCACGGCCTGCCGCAGGCGACAGCAGCGACAGCCTGCAAAACTCTGCTCACGAGCTGTCGACTCCGACCGACGATCGAGAGGTTTCGGGAGTAGAGGCCTCCTCGATGGGGTCCGAGTAGATGGGGTCGGAGGATCGCGCAGCATCGCCGACACATCGGCGATGCATCGGCGATGCATCGGCGATCCATCGGCGACATCGGCAATGCATCGGCGACGCCGGCATGGGGAAAATCTGCCCCCACGTCGAACCGCATCGCCGATGCATCCCTCGACGCGGCGCGATGCTCCGACCCCACCTGCTCGGACCCCAGCGACGAGGCCCTTAGAGGGACCGCCTCTCGCACAGCGACCCGCAGCGCTGCGCAACGCCACGCCATGCGAAAGTCCGCTGACGAGCAGCTCCGCGCGTGGCGTGCGCGGACCGTGGGCCGCGCAGGGGCCGCACGGCGTCGCGCGAGCCAGACCGGCGCGCACCAGCCGCCGAGCACGGGGAGTGCCGGCGAGGAGTGCCTCGAGAAGAACGGCTGGCCGAGTGGACCAGTGTTAAGTCGGGCCTGTCCCCCTACAGGGGGATTTACGACGAAAAATAAAAAATACCCAAAGAATAATCAAAACATACTCCAAAAATAATATGGGGACTATGTTTTGAATATTTTTGGCCTTTTTGGGGCATTTTTGGGGTATTCTTCATTTCTCGTCGAAAATCCCCCTGTAGGGGGACACGCCCGACATAAGACCAGTGGCGGGCTGCAGGCCACCACGCGGAATAGATGCCCCCAAGAAGCCAGAGGCCCCCAGGAGGCCCCCAGGAAGCCCCGAGAGGTCCCCAAGAGGCTCCCAAGAGGCCCCTAAACTGTCCTCCAGGGGCCGCCGAGAGCGCTTCGAAGAGACCCCAAGAAGCATCCATGAGGACTCTGACCCACGTCAGCGTCGTCGTCGTCGCCGCCGCCGCCGCTGTCGTCGTTCCCCTTCAGGGTCGGCGGCACCGGCCGTAAGGCCTTCGCAAAACAGTCGAAACGCTGTTATGAGGAGACCTGAGCAAGGAACGAGGCGTTGTTTCTCATAAGCGAAACTTCGATGTCCGAAAAAACGCCTGAGGAAAACCGAAAGAAAGCTGCAAAACAATTAAGGAGCGCTGAGCCCCTCCTCAACGAAAAAGGGTTCCATCTTCAGCGGCCCGACTGTATCCCGCAGAAGGAGGAGGAGGAGGAGGAGGAGGAGGAGCAGGAGGAGGAGGAGCAGGAGAAGCAGAAGGAGGAGGATGATGATGCCCGCGGGGTGAGGCGGACCGCGTCGAGCCACGGCCACCCCTGCGAGGCGCGCGCCCCACGCGCGCCCGCGCCTCGGCGCAGCTACGCGCCCGAGGCTGTCGGCCAGGCCTCACCCCGCGCGGCCCGCAGCAGCCTCGCCACCTTGGCGGCCAAGCCTGGCGAGCTGCTGCGCTCCCGCGTGCAGCGCCGCGGCCTCGGCCAGCCGCCTCCGCCGCCCGCAGCCCCTGCTTCGCATCGAGCAGCAGAGCCACCTGCAGGCGGCATGCTCTCCTCCTGCGACCTGTCCTCCAAGTCCACGCTGTCGCCGCCCGCAGCCCCTGCTTCGCATCGATCAGCAGGTTCACTTGCAGGCGGCTGGACCTCCTCCTGCGACCTGGCCCCTCTGGCCTCGCGTGGCGGGGGCGGTCCGCCGCCGCTGCCACCTGCAGCCACCTCGCCTCCTCTCTCGGCAGGGCCCGCCTCAGGCCGCTGGCTCTCCTCCTGCTGCTTGGCCACCTTGGCCGCCCGCCTCGGCGACTGCGAGGGCGGCGTCGGCGCGGCCTGCCTCGGCGAGCTGCTGCGCACACGCGCGCGGTGCCTCGGGCCTGGCCCTCCGCCGCCGCCCGCAGGCCCCGCCTCGCCTCCTGCCGCGGCCTGGCGCCTCGGCGAGCTGCTGCGCACACGCGTGCGGCGCCGCGGGCCTGGCCCGCCGCCGCCGCCCGCAGGCCCTGCCTCGCCTCCTGCCGCGGCCTGGCGCGCCGCGGCTGCACGCCTGCCGCCAGCTCGCCCTCTCGGGCCAGCCGCCACGCTGGAGCCCTCAGGGGTCAGGGGACGCAGGGAGTCCTCGCCCTCCCCCTCCCCGCCACCTGGAGCTCCTCCTGGCGGGCGCAAGGAGTGGCCGTCCTCCTCCCCCGCGATGTGCCGCGGCGGCTGGCCTCTCCCCTCCTGCACGTCGTCCGCCAGCATCGGCGGGGGCGGTCCGCCGCCGCTGCCACCTGCAGCCACCCCGTCTTCTCCCTCGGCGGGGCCCGCCTCAGGCCGCTGGCTCTCCTCCTGCTGCCGCTTGGCCACCTTGGCCGCCCGCTTCGGCGACAGCGAGGGCGGCGTCAGAGCGGCTTGCCTCGGTGAGCTGCTGCGCACGCGCGCGCGGCGCCGCGGGCCTGGCCCGTCGCCGCCGCCCGCAGGCCCTGCCTCGCCTCCTGCCGCGGCCTGGCGTGCCGCGGCTGCACGCCTGCCGCCAGCTCGCCCTCTCGGGCCAGCCGCCGCGCTGGAGCCCTCAGGGGTCAGGGGACGCAGGGAGTCCTCGTCCTCCCCCTCCCCGCCACCTGGAGCTCCTCCTGGCGGGCGCAAGGAGTGGCCGTCCTCCTCCCCCGCGATGTCCTGCGGCGGCTGGCCTCTCCCCTCCTGCACGTCGTCCGCCAGCATCGTGATGTTGACTGCCACCTCGCTGACCACCTTCGGAGCCAGCCCCTTCCTCAGCCTCGCGACCGCGGCGGCGCCTGCAGCCGAAGGGACACTCTTGCACTCGAGGTGGAAGGAGCTCGCTCTGGCCGCGCCTGTGAACCCGCACGCCCTGCAAGCCACCAGCGGCATCCTGCGCACCAGCAGCCTCCCATCAACAGGCGCGAGGAGCACCAGGTCGTGCGACGCCTTCTGCTGCGCCTTCAGCCTGTTGTTGGCCCTGATCGCCTCGGCGACGATGCTGCCAGGGCACTCTCCTGATCTGCCTGACCATCTGCAAACCTCGCACCAGGGACGTAGGCCAGGCGGCCTCCTCCAGACGCAGGCCATTCTCGCCGCTGGCTCCTTGCGCACTGGCAGCGCGCGCTGCACCTTCGTCTTGCCGTGCGTGGTGTCGCTGCCGTCGACCCAGCTGCCGACTGCCGCGCACCACATGGCTGCTCGTTCGACCACGTCTCGACTCCTCTCCAGGCACTCTCTGTCCCGCACGGGGAGGCGCCCGCTGGCCGCCGCAGCCTTTGCCGCCCTGTCCGCCAGCCGGTTGCCGTACCAATCTCTGT